AACCACAAGTAGATTAAGGTAATAAGTAGGCTGTTTAAATAAAAGCCTGCTTGATTTCCATTTACTAAGGGAGATCTTCTGAAAACCTGTGTGTTGCTTTATGTCCACAGATCTTGCAGTGTTCAAAAAGATGTGCCAATGGTGTTCTTGCAGCAACATTAAGGAAAATCATTTAGTACCTTCTACAACTTTACTTTTTAGGTTGCATCCAGTTATTTCATACCATCACTCTCCAAAGTGTGTTAAAGGCCGTGGCTCAGAACTCTCCCGGGGCTAATCCTTCAGTCTGCATCTCTTCTGGGTGCCTTGCTTGAAGAAGACTTAGGCCAATCCAAGAGTAGCGTTTCTAGGAGCAGGTGGCCTCTGATTTTTGGGCACACTCCTTTAATGTTCTGCTTCAAGAGTGGGGCCTGTGGCCCGTGGACCTGGATCAGCTCTTGCCAGACAAGGAGAGGTAAACCTTTCTGTTTTCTGGGGCTGCTCATAACTTGGCTATATTCCCTGCTGGGCTCCAAAGCCAGGTTTGCCTTTGAAGCTTTACTGCTATATAGGGGTAGAGGCCTGGGCATGCTAGTGAGAAGGGACTTGAAAGTCTTCACCTTCTCAAAGTCACTAGTGGGTGGCAGAGCTAAAACCTGGACCCAGAATATTTCTTTTTCTATTTCTCCTCTTTTTATCCTTTAATGTTATATGAATTATGTGATAATCAAATAGCATGACAAGGCTAATGTGTCTCTAGCACACTCAGATGACACCAAAGATTGATGACCAAGCATCTGAAAAGTTCATTCTTGCCATGTGAAGAGTCACTTTTATTTTTCTCAGAGGACAAAAAAAAATTACCAAACTCTCACTCAGCTCATATTACTAAAAGGCAAGACCTTTTCATCTCTTTAAAGAATACTGCACATACATTTTTTACAGTGAGCAGGGAGCTAACTCTACATGCCTAAAATTCATGTGCCTGCCATGCTTCCAGCCTGGGGAAATGTCTCATGTCTGGCTCCCATTGCAATTGTAGAAGAAACAATTATGCTCATCCATCTCCTGGTCTCCAAGAGCTGAGAATAGGAATTAGAGTCTACAAGAGAAGATAATTTTCTACTTTAGAGTGGCCCATATCCATCCACAAGAGAGCTCATTGAGCACCATTACGAACTAGGCATTATAGGGGTGGCCATACAGCACAGGGTCATGGCCCTCGAATTTATAATCCAGGAAATAGGACACATGAGATCACAGGTGAATGTCATGGGCACAAATGTTTATAAAACTTAAGGACACATGCTACAACATGGATAAACTGAGAAGACATTATGCTAAGTTAAATATGACAGTCACAAAAGGACAAAAATTGCATGCTTCCACTTAAATGAAATGCCTAGGGTAGTTAAACTCAGATACAGAAAGTAAAATGGTGGTTGTCAGGGGCTGGGATGTAGGGGAATAGGGGGAGTAGTGTTTAATGAGTACAGAGTTTCAGTTTTGCGAGATGAAGAGTTCTGGAGATGGATGTTGATGATGGTTGCATGACAATATCAATGTACTTAATGCCTCTGGATTGCATATTTAAAATGGTTAAAATGGTAAATTTTATGTTATGTGTATTTGACCACAATTAAAAAAAAAACTGCGGAGAAATATCAAATTATGGTGTAACATAAAGAATATAAGTCTTGGGCTAAAAGAACCCAAGTTCTCATGCTTGCATTTCTCCTGTGTGATCATAGCTAAGTCATTTCATTTCCTTAAATTTCCTAACCTATAAGGCAGCAAAAATGATTGTAAGGTTATTGGGACAATTCAAAGA